CTGGATGGCTCAGTTGGTTAAGTGTATGACTTCGGCTCAGGTCAGGATCTCAGTTTGTGAGTTCGAGCCCCGCGTAGGGCTCGGTGCTGACAGCTCAGAGCCTGGAGCCTGGAGCCTGCTTCCAATTCTGTGTGTCTCCTCTCTCTCTCTGCCCCTCCCCCGCTCACACTCTGCCTCGCTCCCTCTCAAAAATAAACAAACATTAAAGAAAATAAAGCAAACCTCTTACCTTCAGTTTTAGCCGGGGACCCTGCCCTCTGTCTAGAGAGTACTCACGGATGCTTTTGTCCGTCTGGCCGGCCCTTCCTCAGTATGGCGCACCCCTCTGCGTGCCCCCGAAAAACATTCGTTCCCTGCTTCATTTGCGTCTGTTTCTCTGGGAGACAGAGAGCAGCGTGATGTAGTGGGAGGGTCTGGGATTCAGCACATGTCTGCCGAGTGTCGATTGTATGCCTGGCATTGCTCCGAGACGGGGTATAAAGATAAGTGAAGCTTTGTCCTGACCTGGGGCTGCCCAAACAATTCAGAATTCACTGATGGGTTGATTCAGCTCCTTATTTGAACTGGATTTGTTGAGCGCTTACCGTGTGCCAGGCACCGACCTCGGCCCCAGGCCTACCGTGGTGAACGGGGAAAGGGGTCACTGTCCGAGGGAAATACCCAGTTGCTCTTGCACCAGATCTTCCCAGCTGACCTTGAAGGACTCCCTGCTCCCCTCTGGGCTTCAGTTTCTCTATCTTTAAAAAGAGGGGGTTTTGGGATCTCTTTAGCTTCAACTTTGTTATGTGTGGCATGTAGGTTGACGGTCACGTTGGTTTTTCCCAAGCCCGTTCTTGCTGGGGACGGGATGATGGAGGCTGTGGGAGGCAGGTGGTCAGAGTCACGGAAGGAGGTAACACAGAGAAGCAGAGGGGAGGGAGGAGGGGGGAAGATGCTTTGCTATGGGCTTTGAACACATAGAAGGGCCATGGTCCAGGGAACGCAGGCAGCCTCTAAAAGCTGGAAAAATCAAGGAAGCAGATTTCCCTTTAGAGCCTCCAGAAGGGATGCAGCCCTGCTGATACCTTAACGTTAGCCCTTCTGACCTCCGGAAATGATGTGTGTTGGTTTTAAGATGCTAAGTGTGTAGTGATTTATTAAAGCAGCAATAGGAAACTAACACAGAAGCCAACCTGAAAATCCTTCCCAGGGCTTTCCGGCTCACTCGGAAGATCCTCCCCGGCTCCTGAAATTTTCCGAGTCTGGATGTTAGCTGCACAGTCCCTGGCACTCCGCCTATGCTGACCCTGCGCTTGGGACGTAAGGGGGTTGGGTGAAGGTATCACTGAACATGACTGAGGGATGGGGACATCTGGCCAATGTCCCAGAAGAATCGTCCTTGCTCCCAGAGTGCAGACTCTTCTAGAACAGCCTTGGTGGTGGAAGGCTAGACCTTTGATGGTAGAACTGCAAACAGAATCAGCTCCCCTGAGCAATCATTGTCCCTGCGTGAAAGAGAGTCATGGTCAACCCCGCCCTGGCTGCCAGGGAGGAAGTGCACAGATGATAGAATAAAGCAGCAGCCCTTCTAACTGTTTTATTTATGATAACTCAGGTCACCAACTTTATTGTTCTTACGGGGCTGTGAATGGAAGAGAACGGGGTCAGCCCAGCGCGGCCCAGCATTGAGGATCTCGGGGCACCTGATGTCACTAGTCCAGGATGGGGGTGGGCGGGGCCTCCACAGAGGCAGCGCTGGGCTCCCAGGGGCTGCCCCACCCCCACCCCGGTTTGCAGGCCGGGAGCAGTCGGTGTGGATTCTGGAGTTTGGGTGATGTGAGCAAAACTGGCGCAGGCCGGCAGCTCTGGAGTTGGCAGGGGGACGGACGAGTGGCTGGCTCGTCCGGAGCAGGGGAGGACAGTTAAAAGGTTCCTGAATTTGCTTCCAAAGTCCTTACAGATGTCCTTGCCTTTGACCCAGCGATTCTGCTTATGAGAGTATATGCTAAGGAGACATCCGAGCTGGTGCTTAAGGAGACATCCGAGCTGGTGCTTAAATGCCGTGGATCCAAAGGTGTTCTTGATCACACTGCTCGTTATAAACATTGGAAACAAAGCAGTGTGGGACTCTGGGCAAGTCCACCTGTGGTCATTTATGCAAAGGAAATACGCCGTAGTCATTAAAAATGGTTTTGGACTGAGCCTTCGGCTTTCTGGAAGGATGCTCAGAATATGTTGTTCAGTGAAAAGAATCAGGTTAAAAATAGTATGTTATTTATCCTTTCATGGAAATTCTGCCTAAAGTAGGATGCATGCTTGTAAGATGTATATTTACAAATCTGCATGAAAGTTTGAAGGTTATGTCTAAAAATCAAAATGACTGTCTTTGGTTGGTAGAATCCCTTTCTCTTTCTTTCTATGCTTAAGTTAATTTACTTCGAGAGAGAGCTCACCCACAAGCAGAGGAGGGGCAGAGAGAGAGAGAGAGAGAGAGAGAGAGAGAGAGGTGATCCCAAGCAGGCTCTGTGCTCTCAGCACAGAGCCCCATGTGGGGCTTGAACTCATTAACCATGAAAGCATGACCTGAGCGGAAATCAAGAGTCCGATGCTCAACCTAGTGAGCCACCCAGGAGCCCCAGAATTCCCTTCTCTTCCTGTGCGTCAGGAATTTCTGTGTACAGTTCACAGGGGGCAATTCTCAAGAGCTCAGTATCTGGACTTGTACAGATCTAGGCTCTTCCTTGCCACTGACTGGCTGTGTGTCTTTGGGCAAGTCATTTAACCTCTTTAGGCTTCCATTTTCTCCTCTATAAAATGTGGGTAAGACCAAGACCTACCAGATGTCAAGGAGGACTCAGTGAGCTAATGCTCTGGAAACATCTCGGCACGCGGACTGGTGCTTAATAAGTGCTTAATAAACTCAATATCGTTAGTCTCGTTTTTTAAACAGTGAACATGTATTATTATGTAATAAGGAAATAACCAACATTGAGTAAAATTATTCACTTTTCTTCGTCAGACTAGAGTTTGAGGACCTCACGCTGGAGCAGAGGCGGCCGTGAGGCCTTGGGGGCTGGGCTAGCTCCTGTCCGCCAAGCCCTTGCTGAAGGCAAAGAATCCATGTAGGGTGTGTCTCTCCCTGACCCCCCTGGGTTTTCAGAGCGATGGTTCTCAGCTAAGAGAGATAGTGTTGTTACATGCCTCATTTTACAGATGGGGAAAGTACGTCTGGGGACAGAGAGGTCAGGTCTGAGGGGCCCCACAGCTGAAGGATGGAGCCAGCATTCCAATCAGGTCTGTCTGAGGGCAAAGCCTGGGGGTTTGGTTGAATCAGTTACTGCAGAGTTCAGAAAGTGGGGGTGAGGAGGGGGGAGGCTTGGTAAAGGCTGAAACAGCTGAGGGAGGGGTGCCCGACATTCTCACTCTCCCTTGAGAATTGTGGGGACATGCTGGATAATTCCATGGGCTTCCTTCCCCAAGAAAGACCAGGGTCTGCTGCCTGGTTGGTGTGTACAGTGATTTTTTTTTTTTTAGGGTGACTAGAACTTAGAGTTCTTGAGCTAAAAACGGTCCATTATTAGAGTTCACCAAGGACTCGGAGGAAATATTTTCCTAAGAAACTTGACATCCACGAACTTTGTAAAACCCCCGTTGTGCAGATGTCCATATGGCGAGTTGGAGTTCTAGCCAATTTTTAGTGCACTGGTAACCTTGTCTTATGTGAGCTGTGGCTTTCAAGTATGGCTGTTAAAACAAACCTTTTTATTGGGGAACATTTCGAATATGCACAAAGTGAGCAGGGCAGAGGGTAATGAACCCCCAGATACCCACCACCAAGTATCAAAGCTGTTCTGCCACTCTGGTTCGTCTATACCTCTTCCCACCCTCCACCCTCACTCAGGGATGCTCGCTGTCTATAGTTTTGGTTTTAGGAGGTGAAATTTACATATGTTGAAATGCACAAATCTTCGCCCTTTGGAGGAACGATATCCCCGATATCCCCGTGGAGCCCACATTCCTTTCACAATATAGAACGTTTCTGCCTCTCCCCAGTCCCCACACAACCCCTGTTCTGATTTTTTCCCACCTTAGAATAATTCTGCCTGTTCTAGAACTTCTATAAATGGAGCCATTAAATATGCACTCGTTTTTGTGTCTGGCTTCCTTCGTGTGGTGTTACGTCTATGAGACTCATCAGTGTGGTTGCTTGCATTGGTAGCTTGTTCTGTTTTCTTGCTGAGCAGCATTTGATTATATGAAGAGACCGCAGTTTGTTTACCCTTTCTTTGGTTGATGGACATTTGACTGGTTTCCAGTTCTGGGCTACAAGTCTCAGTGTGGACATATGTTTTCATTTCTCTTGGGTAAACACCTAGGAGGGAAATGACTGGGTCGTACGGTATGCACCCGCTTCATGTTTCTAGAAAGTTCTCTTGGTCTCCCAAAGTGGTTGGATCATTCTGCATTCCCGCCAGCAGTGGATGGAAGTTTCAGTTGCTCCGTGTCCTCGCCTACGTTTGCGGTAGTCGACCTCCGTAATTTAATTCTGCTCTTTTTAAATGAGCTAACAAATGGATGGAGTTTCTGGAGGATTCCATTCTTGTTAATCAGTCTGGCGTTGGACAGTTCTCTGTTCCTTTGTCTTTGCAGAATTCCTTTCCCTCTGATGGTGGTGGAGATTGCCTTGGTCAGAAAAGATTAGGGACTGTGGTTTTGAGGAGGAGCTGGGGTGGGGGGATGGCTGCCCTCCATCCCACCTCCGTGCTCCCTCGGAGTTCTGGTCTGGTGTGGAGCAGGGCAGGGGGCTGAGTAGCCTGACCTCTCTTCCAGGTCAGATCCTGGAAGGCTTGGAAACTGCTCCCTTACCTCTACCCCTTTAGTGGGGGGGAGGGGTGTCTCTGGGGCCCCGACTTCACCTCCTTTCCCTCTGGAGGCCCATCTTCTAACTATCGCTCTACCCCACGGAGGCGACACAGCTGGAAACCCACGCCCACCCAGACCTCTCTCTCTTCTCCCTGCAGATATAGGCCCGGTGACCCTCACGGCAGACCCAGTGGTGTTTCAGAGAGAGCTGAGAGAACTCTACGTGCAGGTGGGCCACCCTGCCCCTGGCTGCTGCCCACCCCCCGCAACCTCCTGCGTCCTTCCCGGTCCATGCAGAGGCCAAGGTCTTTACCCTACCCAGTGGCCAAGATGGCGGCTCCCTGAACTGCCATGATCTGCCTCCCAATACTGCCTGTGGCCGCACCCCAGCCTGGGGGCCCTGCAGAGCCTCTGCTTCTTGGGATTCCTTCCTTTATTCAGTGAACCAAGTACCTACGGGAGCCCCTGTGCCTGGGACATAGTAGGTGCTTATTATTTAGTGAACGGATGAAGCAGTGGAAGAAGGAGGTATGTGGCCGCTGAAGGAGGATGCAAGGGGTCTCAGGGCCGACCCCCCAAACCGACACACTGAGCGCCTTGGTTCAGCGTCTGTCCTTCCCTGCCGCCCGCCCCCCGCCACTGAGAACAGCAGCCCCCTAAAAACAGGGGCCCCACATATCTGTCTGGTTCACTGCTGGGTCCCCCAGGACTCAGAACAGGGCCCGGCGCCTGGAGGGGACAGGAAGCGCTTGGGGGCTGGATGAACGAGCCCAGGAGAAAGGCATTCCTGTAAAACCCCGCAGACCCCGTTGCTGGGTGTGCACAGCTGTTGGGGCAGGACACGCGCCCTTTCTCACGGAGCCCCGCACGCGGGCCGGGAGGGCAGGGGTGTGTGTTGGTCTGGGACCGATTCCGGAGCAGGCTGCAGAGGGGATTTGCGGGGACGGCTGGCTTCCAATGCCTTCCTCTGCCCAACGCCCGCCTCTCCTTCCCCTGGCGGCCCCCTGCACCTCCGTCCTCCAAGCCCTGGTGAACACGTGGCTTCTTTGGGGGCATCTGTTCGCCGTCCCAGGGCTCCCCTCCCTCCTCTCCCTACCACTCACTGCAGCGGTAATTAAATAATCACGTCGCGCTTATTCGCGCTTAGAGCAGGCCCCGCCGGAGGGACCCCACTCTTGCATGGGTGAGTGAGCGGGCGATATTTGTCTAAAGTTAAAGCAGGTCGGATGTTACACTGTCTCGGGGGAGGAGTGTGGTGGCCTCACCCCTAGATGGGCGGGACAGAGGCAGCTTGGGGGGATTGCCCCCCTCCGGCCCTCGTTGTTCGCGTCGGAGGTGTACCTGGGTGGCCCCGCCTGGAGGAGGTGGGCGGCAGCCGCTGACACACCCCTGTCTCGCAGGGAGGCGGTGACTGCCCAGAGATGAGTGTGGGGGCCATCAAGGCTGCTGTGGAGGTGGCCAACCCCGGCTCCTTCATCTACGTCTTCTCGGACGCCCGCGCCAAGGATTACCACGGGAAGGAGGATGTCCTGCGGCTCCTGCAGCTGAAACAGTCCCAGGTGAGTGGACCGGCTTGGGGAGCTCGAGCGTGGAGACCCCAGCGGGGGGCCCTGAGGAAGCTGGGGTCCCAGGTGCGCGCAGCCCGGGCCCCCAACTGCCGAGCGGAGGGCGGGTGCTTCCCTTCCATGGTCTCCGCCAGCCCTTGAGACGGAGCTGGTCTGGTCAAGTCCAAGTGTGTTCTCATGCTCTGGGCCCCCCGCCCGCCTGCCTGACGGGGCTCCTGCCGTCTGGCCAGGCTCATTCTTGATAAAGACCACACCACCCCCGCTCCCCTCGCACCCTGTCAGAGCCTGCGCCATCCATCTTCCTCCTGGCGGCGTCTTTGCTCCCGTCGCTGCAGAGCGAGGCGCCCTTTTCCCAGTGCCTCAAGGTCTGGACTCTTCTGCTGGGGCTTCTGCTTCTTGTTGTCACAGCCAGGGGTGGGGGAGGGGTGTGCACGGGACCGAGAAGGGCTGTCTGACCTCAGGCTCTCAAGAGCTTCTCTGTTCTCCAGTCTAGAACAAATTCCATTCTCCAAGGTTCTTCTTCTTCTTCTTCTTTTTTTTAATTAAAAAATTTTTAATGTTTTATTTATTTTTGAGACAGAGACAGAGAGTGAGCAGGGGAGGGTCAGAGACAGAGGGAGACACAGAATCCAAAGCAGGTTCCAGGCTCTGAGCCGTCAGCACGGAGCCCGACGCGGGGCTTGAACCCACGGCTGTGAGATCATGACCTGAGCCAAATTTGGATGCTTAACCGACTGAGCCACGCAGGCAGCCCCCACCAAAGGTTTTAAATATTTATTTATTGTTGAGAGAGAGAGTGCAAGCAGGTGTGGGGCAGAGAGAGAGGGAGACACAGAATCGGAAGCAGGCTCCCAGCTCTGAGCTGTCAGCACAGAGCCCAGTGCGGAACTTGAACTCATGAACCGTGAGATCATGACCTGAGCCGAAGTTGGACACTTAACCTTAGAACCCACAGTTCTTCTAAGTTTGTGGCCTCCGGGGCTGCTGCTCGGGCCAAGCTGACTTCCATTTCCTTCCTTGTTGTCGATTTAATAATGGCTCCCATTTATTGTGCCCGTAGGCCTCCTGACCCCTGTGCTACACCCTTGACCTGCACCAGCCCTGATCCCCGTGGGGTGGGCTCTCATCACTCCCATTCTACAGATGCATTCGCTGCGCCCAGAGGGAGGAAGGGGCTCGCCCCAGGCCCCTCCCCCCTTGGCCCGGCCCTGCCACTCGGCTCACGCCTGAAGAAGGTGGCCAGCGGGGAAGCCACGAGCCAGGCTCCGTGTCCCTCTTCCAGGTGGTCTTTGTGCTGACAGGAGACTGCGGTGACCGCACTCACCCCGGCTACCTGGCCTACGAGGACATCGCCGCCGCCAGCTCCGGGCAGGTGTTTCACCTGGACAAGCAGCAGGTGACCGAGGTGAGGCCTCCCCGACGGTCCTCACCCCTGGGCGGCTGGGCTTGGTGGTCAGATAGCTGTGCCATCCGTGAGCGGTGCTCCCGCTGTGGCCAGCGCAGCCGGGGCGGTGCTCAGGGCTGTATGACGTCCTCTCGCCACCCCCCACCCCTCACCCTGCACCCACCCCAAAGGCAGGTGCCGCGGACTTCCCGATTTTGCAGGTAAAGAGGCTGAAGCTCCGAGAAGCAGCCTGGGTCCCCCAGGTGGTCCGGGCTGGCAAGAGGGACTTAGCAAAACCTGCCAGAAGTGTGGGGGGGGGGCATGGGGTGAGCTTCTCCGCAGAGTCTGGGAACCCGGGGTGGGGATGGAGGAGTGGGGGGGCAGGGGGCATCCGATTCAGGCCGTGCTGCTGGGGCAGAAAATCCTGCCTGGGGAACTTGACCGTCAGGCACTTGCCCGGTCCTGTGTCCTGAGGTGCTGAGCTCACCTGGTGTCTGCACCCTCACCTTGTTCTTGAACGAGGGGCCCGCCCTTCCGCTCCTCCAGGCCCCACTGGCCGCTCAGAACTTTCCCTGCTTTCCCCTCTCCCTGCACGTCTGCCTGTTCCCTTTCAGGAGCCAGAGGGATCCTTCTAGTGACACGCTTGTAAGTGTTCACCCCTGCCTCCCTGGAAGGAATGAGGGTGCCCATTGCCGTGGTGTAAACACTCTCACCCTGGCGGAGTTCACGCTGCTGTCGTGAGGTCACTGAGCAGAGCTGGGGAGCGATGCTCACTGTGGACTCTCTCGAGCCTCTCTATGCTCTGTCTGTAGTATCCTGTAGTATCTGGAGGGTCTTTCTAAAGCAAATCTGACCAACAGGGCTCTCCCGTTTGTCCCCTGGAGAAGGTCCAGACCCTGATCTGACCCCCGTGGCCTGTGTTCTCCCCCTTTGCTCACTGCTGCCACCCCACTGGCCTCTGCTGTTTCTTCAGTGCCTTGTGTCTTTCTACCCCAGGGCCTTTGCTCATGCGGTTTGTTTTTCCCACGTCTCCTCCCCCCACCCCCCGGCTCCTCGTTTTCCTGGTCTTAGCTGACATGCTCTCTCCTTGGGAGACCTTCCTTGATCTTCCTGTCAAGACGAAGTCTCTTTCGCGCCCTCGCCCAGCTCCGTGTGCCCGTTTACATGACGGCAGTTTTATAACTGTGCCGTTACTTAATGAACGCCATTAGGCTCTGAGCTCCCTGACAGCCCGGCCCTTGTGGGCTCCACTTGCTGCTGTATCCCCGCGCCTCATGCGGCCAGCGGCATGGAGCAGGTGCTCAGAAAATAGCTGGTGAGCGGACAGCTGCGGGGTCCCCCGTGCCCGAGGCCCTGGGAAGAGGAAGGCGAGAGGGACTGTGTGTGAGGCAGGCCCTGGCCCCAGCCAGCCGTGCCGCAGCCTCCAGGAGAAGGTGTTTTGTGTTCGGCGTTTACCCTCTCCCGGGCCGTGTTTAGGTTAGCCTGCCTTAACTGCCTGTTGACAGATGGCGTTTATGCTTCTCCGCGACACTTCGGACTTTATTTTTTGGCCCGTCAGCCTACTCTGGCACGGAGCCGCCTGAGTGAGGGTGGGAGGCATTTACGAGTGGAGGGCTGGCTGGGTCCTTGTTTTGGGAGAGACCTTCTTGGGCAGGAGCTGGTTCTTGTCTGCGGCAAATCAGACGGTGCGGCGCTGGGCGGGTTAGCGGAGGACAGCGGGGCTCCCAGTTCCCCTCTCCTGAGGCAGGGAAGTGGGGCGACTCCGCTAGCACCTGGCCATAGCACCCCGCCTTCGGTCGTGGGAGCCGGTGTGTGTCTGACTTGATGGGCCCTCAGGCGGCCAGCATGGGCTGCCTGCGGTAGGGACCCGGGTCCTTCTCCTTCCTGGACACAGAGCCGTGTCATTCCCGCTGCTCCCAGACATTCGGCGAGCCTGCGACAGCGGCCGGGGCCCCCAGGACGGGGAACAGTGTCTTTGTCCCAACCAGGGGGCTCCAGCTGAGAGAACGAATCCTCGCAAGTTGCAGACGTCCCCACATTGTGCACGTGTCGTTAGCGCCTTCCCCTTTCCGAAGTACGTCCGTGGGGCAGGAGCGACACGCTCTGCAGTCTCCCCTTCGCGGACTGTGCACCTGCTACGCTTGCACGCACAGCTTCAGGGCCTGGGCACAGAGAGAGACTCCGTCCGCGTTAGGTCCCGGTGCTTCTGCACCTTTGCTTGTGGGCTTGGCTCTATGGGTAATTAAAGCAAGGGCAGGGGCGCCTGGGTGGCTTAGTCGGTTAAGCGTCCGACTTTCGCTCAGGTCATGATCTCGCGGTTCGTGGGTTCGAGCCCCGCGTTGGGCTCTGTGCTGACTGCCAGCTCAGAGCCTGGAGCCTGTTTCAGTCTGTGACTCCCTCTCTCTCTGACCCTCCCCTGCTCACGCTGTCTCTCTCTCTCCTAGAAATAAATAAATAAATAATAAATAAATAAATAAATAAAGCCAGGGCAAGGATCCTCTCCAGCGGCCAATTTGGAGCTTTCACTGTCCTTCAGTGCACGGGGGAGGCAGGCATCGTGGCCCCGTGGGGTGTGCATTTCTGGTCTAGGCTTAGCTGGGTCCAAGCCCCCCCCTTGCTCTGGCACAGAGCCCCCCCCCCCCCCCCCCAGCTCAGTGTACTGTCCGCAGCCCCGGCAGAGTGGGCAGAATTGCTGGCAAACCCCCGCATTCTGCAGCTTTCCCTGGTCCTGGGAAGTCCGTTCTGGCGGCCCAGACCCCGCCCCTGTTAGCACCCGCCCATACAAATAGGGCAAATGGCCCAGCTTCTGCACATCTACTAGCGCAAAGGTGAACCACCTTCTAAGACAGGAAGCAGGAAGTGGGGCATGGGGAGGGGTTGGAAGAGGAGGGCTGACTGTGTGGTTCCAGGGAACAGATCAGGAGGCATAGGCCCCAGAGATGACTATCCTGGATGCTTCCTGGAGAAGGCAGCATGGTGGAGGGTTAAGGCCACACACGGCTCTGGCTTCCGACCCCAGCCCTGCCACTGGTGTGCTGTGTGACCTGAACACAGTACTTAACTCCTCTGGGCTTCTATTTCCTCCCGTTGGGTTTTATGGGCGCCCCTGCCTCGTGAGCTGGGGGCGTGTGCGTGCAGGCAGCGGGAAGCCCCTGCTTGCTCTGGAGCCCACAACGCAAGCCGGGCTCTAGCGAAGCCCCTGAAGGGTAAGGGAAAGCTTCTCAGGCCCTGAGTGCCCAGTGGCCCCCAGCTGGCAGGGCTAGTGCCCGCTCTCCATCACTGAGAGCTGATGACCCAGGCGCCACAGTCTGGTCCCAGCTTTCTGCTCTGTGGCTCTCGGGTTCTTCAGGCCCCCTGGCCTCTGGGCTCTGCTTCCTGGGCCTGCCTGGCTGTCAAGCATCTGGAGGCGGGGCCTCAGGGGGTGATTTATCTGCCGTGAACAGCCCAGCGGCAGCCATCTGGCCAGGGAAGCAGCGCCAGATTCTTTCACTCCTTCCCCATCGGTGACAGCGATGGGCCCTGTTGCAGCACTGGCTCACGGGCCCCCAGTCCCGCTAACATCTGGAAGCCATTGTCTTCACCAGATAAACATTGAGCTTGCTCGATGGAGGCTCTCTGCTTGGAAGCCCCCCTACCCCCCGCCCGATTCCACTCAGAGTCCCGGGGCCCTTGCAGGGTCCAGAGAGCCTTGTCTGCAGGCCTGGGTCTGCAGGGGGTCTGGGCTTGCTGAGGGCAAGATGGTCAGCACTCCCAGCGCCCCGGTGGTGACACGCTCAGGGCCCGTGGACATGCAGCCAGCTGGTGGGGTCACTGGCACTGTGCTCTGTCTGCGCCTGCTCTGCTGCTCGGGAGCCCGAACTCCTGGGCATCGTCACTCTGTCATCGCTACAAGCTTGTAATGACGGTTGCAACACAGCAGTGCGTGTGATTTCTTGGGGTAATTGTCAGTGGGCGTGGCCACTGCCTCCAGGCAGCTTTGCTTAGTTATGATTTCCTCTATGAGCCCTGACAAGGCAGCCCCCCCACCCCAGGGAAGAAGACAGTGGTCCCGGAGCTGTGGTGGCCGCTGTCTTGCCTCAGTGGCTTCTGGCCGTCTCTCCAGATGGGAGCCTTGGCTACTGCTTCCTCCCTCCAGCCCCCGTGTGTGCAGAGAAACTTTTCAAGAGAAACATTACTTAGAAAGCCGGGTGAGGGGGCGCCTGGGGGGCTCTGTCGGTTAAGCATCTGCGTTTCAGCTCAGGTCATGATCTCGTGTTTTCGTGAGTTTGAGCCCCGCATCAGGCTCTGAGCGCAGACCGCGTGGAGCCTGCTTGGGATTCTCTCTCTGTCTCTCTCTCTGTCCCTCCCCTGCTGGGGCTCTCTCTATCTCGAAAGAAAGAAAAAAGAGAGAGAAAGCTAAGTGAAACAGAAGAAAGAGGAAGCTCCAAGTATACAAACAAGTGAGTTTTGGGAACATAGGATTCTTATCCTGTAGTAACTGAAATCCAGCTGTAAAATGTTAGATGTGGCAGCTCAGTCTGAACAAAATGTGTTCACTTTTCAAATCTCGGGCAGTTCTTCCACTTCCCTTCTTTCCCTTTTCTCTCTCACGGGAGATCACACAGTAGGACTGTGATTCAGAGCAAGGATGGTGAACGTGGAGCACACAAGGCCCCGCTTTCTGATCCCGTATCCACGGCAGATATGACTCATCGATCACAGATCGTTTTCCTCACTGAGGCCGAACACGGCTTCAGAGTTTTTCAGATAGTATCCCAGGAAGCTGCTTCCAGTTGGTGAGAATTGGCGAGCCACAGGATACCACTGCGGTTGCCTCGGGGTATATCTTAAAGTCATGGCATACTCGTTCTTTTTAGAACTCTTTAACTAAAAAAAAAAAAGATCATGAAAGTTGTTAAGAGATAAGGAAAAGTAAGAAGATAGGAGAAGGAAGAAAAAAAGGAGGGTGGCAAACTAGAAAACAGACCCCCTTTTTAAAAATTTTTTAAAATATTTATTTATTTTCAAGAGATAGAGCACGAGCAAGGGAAGGGGCAGAAAGAGGGGGAAACACAGAATCTGAAGCAGACTCCAGGCTCTGAGCTGTCAGCACAGAGCCTAACACGGGGCTCGAACCCACGAACTGCGAGATCATGACCTGAGCTGGAGTCAGACGCTTAGCCGACTGAGCCCCCCAGGCGCCCTGAAAACAGACTCTTGGTGATAGAGAACAAACTGAGGGTTGATGGGGGGGGTGGGCTAAATGGGTGATGGGGATTGGGGAGGGCACTTGTGGGAAGGAGCACTGAGTTTAGTATATAAGTGATGAATCGCTGAATTCTGTTCCTGAAACCACTATTACCCGATGTATTAACTAACCAAAATTTAAATAGAAACTTGAAACAAACAGAAAAGAACCTACATCCCAGCTAGCTCCAGCACTTAACATTTTTGCCCCACCTCCTCGAGCTATCTCTTTCTGTGCTTTATCATCATAAATAGTTAACGTATCATCATAAACAATCATGCAACCTTATCCGTAAATAATTTCATACGGGTTTTTCAAAGAATGTATGATCTCGGACATAACCCACAATATCCTGTAACAAAATGAGTAGTACTTTGCTGGTATCGTCCAATGCTGAATTCATAGTCGATTTCCCTAATTGTCCTCAAAATGTCTTCTGCAACACTTTGTCAAATCGGGATTTAATCGGGGGCTGTGCGTCCCGTTTTCTTGTTGTGTTGGTTACATCCGCTTACATCTGGAGCAGCCTGCCCTTTTTTTTCATGCCACCAACTTTTGGAGAGGCACTGACTGTACAGTGTCCTGTGTTACAGATTCATCTGTTTCCTTGTGGTGTCATTAATCTGTTCCTTTACCCCCTGGACTTCCCGTAACCTGGCAGTCAGCTCTAAGTGGTTGATGAATGGAGGCCAGCATTTTTGGCAGGAATAGCTCGTGGTTGGTGCGGTGTGTATTTTCTGCTGCATCACGCCAGGAGGTAAAACAATGTCTGATTGTCCTGCTGTTCCTGATGTTAGTTTGATCACTGGGTTAAGGTGGTCGCAGCCAGCTCTCGGCATTGTAGGGCCGCATTTCTCCCTTTATGACTCAGGTGGTCTGCGGGGTAGTGCCTGGGCTCCACGTGGACATCCCTTCCCCCCCACCACCGTCTTTCCATCTAATGGTTGTGGCGTCCGATGCTTGCCTGAAACAGTGATTTCACGAGGGGTTGCAAAATGATTTCCTAATTGTATCATCTCTTGCACTTTTACAAGTGGGCATTCTTCCCTGATGAAGAGCTTTTGCTTCCCAAAAGGGATGACTTGGGGTTTTTTTGAGACACAATTCCTATGGAAAAGGCAGGGATCGGGCTTCTTTCTCTTTCATTAGCAAGCTGTTTTCCTTGGTGGCAAGTGAGGTTTTATTGTTTTGAATTTTGCTTTTTTTTTTGAGTATTATTATTATTCATTTACTTTTTTATTTATTTAGAGAGAGCGTGCACAAGTTGGGGAGGGGCAGAGAGAGAGAGAGAGAGAGAGAGAGAGAGAGAATCCCAAGCAGGCTCTACGATGTCAGTGCAGAACCCATCGCAGGGCTTGATCTCACAAGATCATGACCTGAGCAAACTCAAGAGGCAGACGCTTAACCGAATGAGCCACCCAGGCACCCGTGGGCACACAGAGTCTATAATTCAGTGTGTTTCAATGGATTAAAGTCATTATTCTTTCGGGGTCTCAAGTTGCCCCAGACTTAGCTAGTGGGGCACCTGCAGCCTGGTTCCTATGTCCTTTTGCTGTGTGCTATTCGCCTTTGAGAACTTCCTCCCCTTAGGGAGTTACTAGCTGTCCCAGGCTTGCCTGATAAATCGCCTGCTCCAGACCTGGTATCAGCCATCTCTCCAAACAATCCCAGCGGGGAATTGTATTTAGAAACCACTGGGTTATAAATTCACCGGGAATGAATTTGTATATAAATAAAATACTTGCAGCTCTCTCTTAAACTTGGCTGTAAGAGAGAATCTTGGTCCGGCAAACATTGACACGTATACGTCTTTGCTTCATCCTGCAAGATACATAAAACAATTTTACGAGCACGATACTGACGTCCCTGCCAACTTAAAGCTACATAAGGATTTCTTTGCAGCTCTTTCGGTCCTTGGGGTGCCCTTCGCTGAGAAAATATAGTTGAATCCCCCCGGGGCTCTGAATTCACTTGGAGCTATTCTTTTCTCTCTGTGGTTACGGTGCTAATTTGTTGGACAGTGAGGTTCATGTTTCGTTTTGTTGAGTTCAGGAAGCATCCCGTGAAAACCTTAAAGTCACTTGGCCTGGAGGGAGGCCCCCTCAGAGTCCTTTTTCCTGGTTTCCTTACTGGGAACCAAGTGACCTTGACGAGACTGGCTCTCACAAAGGCGGGGATGGGGATGGAGCTGAGTAAGGCGGCCGTCAAGGTGAATCTGGTGGCCCCGTTGAGGAGGCGTGTGCCCTGCTGTATCTCACACAGTGAATGCGTGCTTCCTGGACACCTGTCTGTTCTAGACACTGAGCTCGGGCCACGGCGGAGGGTCTCTGCCCTCCGGGCATGAATCTAGGCGGGAGCTGATTGATAAGGGAGGGGCAGGTTATTTCTGCCAGAGAAGAGCGTGTGTGGTGGGAGCTGGGGGTTCAACCCTACCAGCGTGGGGAGAGTCAGAGGCACACTGACCTTGAGCCAGGTGAGACAGCTGCCTAAATCCTAGAATGGAACACATGCTCGTGAAAATGGTGGTAAGGATTCGGAGAAACCCAACAATTCCGTGCTCCGTGAGGTATCTCAGGCTGGATCCGGGGTTGCGGACGGTGGGGGCGTTGTAGGCACGCGTGGGGGGCCAGTCTTTGAGAACCCCCTGCAGTCATTCTTTAATGATGGCGTATGGCGCACTCCTCGCCTCTTCCCTGCTTTTCAATGGCACCCACCCAAAACACGTAAGATTTTAGAATGAATAAGCAATTCCAGAAACCAAGGATTTAGGATTTCTCAATATGGTGAGACAGATCAGGAGGAGCCTGCACTTTGCCGCAGACCTTCTCGGTCCCGTTTAGAGAGCTATCCTGGCAGAAGTGTGGTCTGAGGCCCCTTGGGCGGGATGGTGGATTAGATTGCTCTGGGGGAGATTCCGGATCTCCAGGGATCATCTGTGTGTAGGAGGCATCAATCAGGAAGGCTTCCAGGAGGAAGTGATGGGTGCCATAGAAATTGGCCATTCCCTCCCAGCTGCCTCAGTTCAGGTGTTACATCTCCCAGCCCACAGGCCAGGAGGGTGATGGTGTGTGGATTGGCCCTTGTGTAGGGTAGGGGGAGTGGGAGGAGGGGGAGGGGGATTGGGTGTCCTGGAAGGTTTATGTGCTGCCTAAAACCCGGGGTGGGGACTGGAATCTGCTGGAAATCTGTTAGAGACCTGCCTCCAGTGGGTCAGACACGAGTGAGACCGCAGGCACCTGCTGGCGTCAGCTTCTCACACCTGCCTCCCAGGTGCTGAAGTGGGTGGAGTCAGCGGTCCAGGCCTCCAAGGTGCACCTGCTGTCCACAGACCACCCGGAGGAGGGCGAGCACACGTGGAGGATTCCCTTTGACCCCAGCCTGAAGGAGGTCACCATCTCCCTGAGCGGCCCGGGTCCCGAGATTGAAGTCCGTGACCCGCTGGGTATGTGCCTCCCAGCACTGGCCGGCCTCTGCTTTGGCCCCCAACACTGCGCTGGGAGTCCGGATGGGACAAAGAGAGAGACCTGGGGTGGCAGCGGGTTGGGACACAAGGCTCTGGGAATAAGGAGGGTGGGGGGTGCCACGTGGGGGGCAGAGAGGGTGCCTGTGGTGAGTGAGGAATCAGGGAGGCTGTTAGCAGCCAAGGGAGGGGAATTAAAGTAATGACAGTCCTGCGGGCACCTGGGTGGCTCAGTCCATTAAGCATGTGGTTCTGGATTTCGTCCAGGTCATGACCTCACGGTTGTGAGATCGAGCCCCACGTCGGGCTCCACACTCAGCTTCAGGTTCTCTCTCTCTCCCTCTGCCCCTCTCCCCAGTGTGCCCTCTCGCACGCGCTTGGGCTCTCTTCCTCTCAGTCTTGCTCTCTCATAAAAGAATGACAGTCCCTGGGATGCAGGGTCCATGTGGAATCTTACCCTTATTCTCAGGATACCTGTAGTGGGCCAGCAGACCAGTCGGGGCAAGGGTTGGTGGCCGGCCATTGAGATGGGAAGCCAGGGCTCTGGGAGGTGGAGTGACTTGTCTGGGTCACCCACGGTCAGTGTGATTTGGACCCAGCCACCTGGCCTCACAGAGCTCCAAGGATGTCATGGGTCCCCGGGTCTCGAGGCCAGGTGTACACCCCGAACCTGGGGGTGGATGAGGGTGGAATGCAGAATGAGGCAAAGGCCCGAGCACCACACAAGGCGTCAGTTTCTCTGGGAAGGCCGAGGCTGGTGTTTGGAAGACCGTGAGTTCCTGGGGACAGAGTGGGGCCTCTGTCACACAGTCAGGAAAGGACTGGGGACAGAAATCCTTGGGCGTTCCACAGGGAGGATCCTGCAGAAGGATGAGGGCCTCAACGTACTTCTCAACATCCCTGACTCTGCCAAGGTTGTGGCCTTTAAGCCTGAGCATCCTGGGCTGTGGTCCATCAAGGTACTGACCCTGGTTCCCAGGGAGGGGGGCCAGTTTCACCGAGCTGAGATACGGGCTCCCTCCTGCCTGTCCCAGGAACCTGGGGCCCTGGGAGGCTGAGGGCTGGAACATGGGTGGTGACGTGGGCATGTCAATAGAAGCTAGGGGTCAAGAACAGAGGAGGAGTATTCTGCTTTGCACCAGTGAAAGGAAGTAGAGAGGTTTGGGGTGAGTTAGGGAGCTTTTCAGAGAGAGTTGGAGACATGATTTGAGTGTCCAGAGGTGGGTGACTGAGCCGGCTGGAGGTTCAGAAACCTATTCCGTGAAGAATGAACGGAAGAAGCAAGGGTGGTCTTGGGGGAAAGATGGCTCAGAGGGCCGGGGGAGCGGGGCCTGCTTGAATCTGCAAGGTCCTGGAGGCCGGGACTTGGGGTCGGCTGGGCTCCCGGCGGAGTGTCCTGGGATGGGGCAGGCTGCTGCCTTCCACGGATATAAGCTCCTGCTGATGGGGCAAACGTTAGTGGGCTGGGTGTGGGCGCTGCAGGGGAAGGGGCGGCATTGACCCCTGCCCTTCAAACTCTGAGCGACTTTGCGCTGAGAGCTCTGATGCCAATGGGGAAGGCAAGGCAGGGATTCGATGTGCCGCGCGGGACAGACAGAGCCGCAGGCGTTGGGCGGGGCTGGGGGAGGGGGTGGCCGGGAGGGCAGAAGAGCTTCAGAGCCCCACTCAGGACAGTCCCATAGCTGAGGCCTCTTCTACTTCATTTGGGGAGCATCGTGCTGGGCCCGCAGGGAGTAGGTAAGTCGCCCACGTGTCTGCAAAGGTCGGGGGGTTCCGGCCGCTGGCACCGGGGGCAGGGCAGGGCAGCGGCCTTCTGTCCCGGTGCCGGGGTGCTGGAGTCAGATGCCCTGGTGACGTGGGCCTGGGCCTGCCCTAGATCTACAGCAGCGGTCGCCATTCGGTGAGGATCACAGGCGTCAGCAACATCGACTTCCGAGCCGGCTTCTCCACCCAGCCCTCTCTAGACCTCAACCACACCATTGAGTGGCCCCTGCAAGGTACGGTGCTCCGGACCCTGGAGGCAGCGCAGAGCTACCTTCTGAAGAGGCAGGGCTTGCCTTTGGGGACTGGGGGAGCCGTTGGGGGCAGGCTTATGAGTGTGTGACTGGAATGTGCCCTGGAGGGGCTGGCTTGAGCCATTCTCTCGGACCACAGTGAACTGAGCCCAGGGCCGGCACCCACTCCACTGGTCCCCACCCGGGTGACGCCGTGACCATTTACCTTTAGAACACACTCCCTGCCCGCAAAGGCCTCCCCTTTCGCCGTCCCCTTTACTGAGTTCACGCCTCCTTTTTTTTTTTTTTTTTTTTTTTGTCCAAACTTGTCCATCTAGAGCCCCACTGCTTCAGTTTTCCACGAACCTCAGGCTAGTCTGATAAACTAACAGGTGCTAGTCAGTTGTTAGCTTACTTGAAAAGGAGAACACTGTTTTCCAGAGGGATGAATATCCTGATGGTCGTTTCAATGTTCTGGAAGCTGACGGGGGTCGGGAGCCTAGGGAGATGTTGGAACTGGAGGCACAGGATCAGTTTTCTGATTACAAGCCCCCCACCGGGATCTGGGGTTGCCTGTGTGTCCCGGCTGTTGGCTCGGGCTGTCAGAGCTCCATGCCAGAACATACCATCTGGTGGCCAGATCAGGGGTCCTCGTTTATAGTTTTGGAAGTATGGTCCCTCACTAGGCACCCATTCAGAGGACTTTGCTGGGACCAGCTCAGAAGAGAGAAGGGGAGGGGTCTAGACCAGGTCAGGTTAACTCTGGACCACTGACTAACGACCAACACGGCGCATATAAGATCGTTCGAGCTTTTGAGCGAGCCTTTGCTCTCACTTTTGTCATCCTCATCAGCCCTGATTGTCGTTGTGGGGACCAGCAGTAACCTCTCCAAAGTGAAAGGGGTCTGCTTGCTCATTTCGCGTTTGTTTTTCCCAGTGTCAGGAAGGGGGAGAGGCAGAGAAACTTGGTTCCTATTCTAGAGCCAGGAGACAAAAGAACTCCTAAGGGGCGCCTGGGTGGCTTAGTCGGTTAAGCGTCCGACTTTCGCTTAGGTCATGATCTCACAGTTCGTGGGTTCGAGCCCCTTGTCGGGCTCTGTGCTGACTGCCAGCTCAGAGCCTGGAGCCTGTTTCAGTCTGTGACTCCCTCTCTCTCTGACCCTCCCCTGCTCACGCTCTCTCTCTCTCTCTAGAAATAAATAAAAAAAACCTTAAAAAAAATTAAAAAAAAAAAAAAAAGAACTCCTAAAAGCAGTGCTCGAGTGGGGATTGAAAACTGAAGGGTTGCCAGGACTGGTCCCCACTAGAAGAGAATGAAGGCCCCACATGGGACCTTCTTGGGTTTCTGCTTTTGATAAAGATGTGGTTTTCAAGACAGTTTTTAAAAAAGTAGAGAGAAACAGCAGAGCGATTGCAAATGATAATTAGTGATTGGCACTTGGCTTCAGTGCTGGGGTATCAGGGAGTCGGGGAGGCTGTGGGCAGCTGGACAGCAACTGGCCACATATAGGGAGCAGCTACCTGCTGTTGGCTGATTGTTGCTACGTGTGAATGGAGCCCAGCACTGACACATGCTATTTTTCCAAGGAATCTGGACTTCCAGATTTTTATATGCCCTTTCCAGATTGTCCCATGCTTCTTTTTTTTTTTTAATTTTTTATGTTTATTTATTATTGAGACAGAGAGAAACAGAGCATGAGTATGGGGGAGGGGCAGAGAGAGAGGTAGACACAGAATCAGAAAAGCAGGCTCTAGGCTCTGAGCTGTTGGCACAGAGCCCGGCGCAGGGCTCGAACCCACAAACTGAGATCATGGCCTGAGCCGAAGTCAGATGCTTAACCGACTGAGCCACCCAGGCGCCCCAGTTGTTCCATGTTTCTTCAGAGGTTTTAAGGCATTGAGATTTTAATCCAACCACACCCTCTGTTCCCTGGTTTATGATCTCTGAGGGAAAAAAAAAACACACACACATAATAATAACTGCCTGTAAAGGGAAAGACCTGAGTGGAGTTCCCAAATCAACGAAGGGAATTAAGAAACCCAGCTCCAGCTCTGTCTTTTCTGGAATAGTGTGAAAAATCTGTCGCTACTAAGACAGAAAAGAAAATCAAAGGAAAGCAGAGCACAGGGAGAGGATGGACAGGAGTCAGTTCCCAAACTAGCACGTGTCTCACCTTGGCTGGTCCCAGAGGCTGCCCGATGACAGGCAACACTAGAGTTAATGGGAGGTGGGGGGGGGGGAGAGAAATGCCCCCTCCCAGCTCTACTCCAGGAGAGCCCAGGTCTGCAGAGTGGGGGTGATGCAAACATGGGAGGCTGTGGTTTGGATGGACAGTGGCGTTTCAGGACCACGGACAGTAGCAGGCCCCCTCTGCTTATCCACCAGGATAAGCATTAGTTGGCCAGGAAAGAGGTGAGGGGGGCGGTGAGGAGGGCCAAGTAGAGCATGACTATTGTCTCCCTGCTTGGGGAGGGTCAGGGAGCCAGCATCTTCTTCCTCTCCCTTCCCTCTGCAGGGGTGCCCATCTCCCTGGTGATCAACTCCACGGGCCTGCGGGCACCCGGCCGCCTAGACTCGGTGGAGCTCTCACGCAGCTCGGGGCAGCCCCTCTTGACTTTGCCTGTGCAGCCCCTCTCCAACGATTCCACCCATCAGCTCTGGGGCGGACAGCCCTTCCGCGCCCCTCAGGAACGCTTCTACCTCAAGGTGAAGGGCAAAGACCATGAGGGGAATCCCCTTCTCCGTGTCTCTGGAGTTTCCTACAGTGGGGTCGTGCCAGGTGAGTGATTAGCTCTTTCCACTCCTAGAGCCCTGACTCACTTGGAGACCCATTTCTTCCTGGAAGCCTTCCCTGATTACGTGATATTAGGAAATGTCCATTAAAATTCTCTGAGCATCAAGCTCTGCAATGCATTATGCTAAATACTGAGATGCTTCAGATATAGCAGTTGTCAAGGATTTAGTACAAAGCCCATCCACCCATGCATCCACTCATACATTCATCTGTCCATTTGCCCTTCATTGACCCAAACATCCATCCATTCATCTGCCTATTCGTCCATCCACCCACCTACTCATCCATGCATCCATCCATCCAAATATCCATCTACCCACCGACTAATGCATGCATCCATCCATCCAACTGTCCCTCCAACATTCATTGTGTCATTTATGGTGCTCAGTGTAGACACAGCAGTGGGCAGGGTGGTGAGTGTCCGTTGCTCTTCTGTTATCCTCATCATGGTAATACCCATCTAGTCACCATTTTGACCACTTCTCATGAGATAACCCTGAGCCAAGCACCCACCTGCGTCAGCTCACCGAATGCTTCTGAGATGTGTCCCCATTTTACAGATGGAGAAGCCGAGGCTGCCCACCTCACAGGGTTGTCCTGAGGGCTCCATGAGCTAATATGCATAACAGGACAGCTCTTGCGTGTTCTGAGGCTGTGCCCACAATGTGGACTCGGGCCCTCCAATGTGGCAGCTGCTGTTAGTGTCATGTCTTTTTAGGCACGGTTTTGTGGTCCTGTCATTGGTCATGTTGTGTTGGCTCCTATGTGTGTGGCGTTTTGCTTGTTTCCTTGTGTCTCTGAGGTCTCGCATGTGGGTCAGAAGCTCTCAAAGGCTGAGCCTTTGGCTTTCTAACTCTGCCTCTGGTCCTCGCACAGGGTATCTGAGTTCGCTGGCCATCAGCTTCCTGACTGGGCTTTGTTCCCTCCTCCTGCCCACTCCCCCCTTTCACATGGCCATGGCCTTGGTGTGGGGGGGGAGGAGTTCACAGAGGTGGAGGTCACTGATATGCAACGTCTTCTTTGCTGGGGATCTTTTAACAAGGAGCAGACTCCTCTGTTTACTTCAAATGGGGATGCAGAGAGGGTACCAGGGTGCCCATGGCGAGGTGGAGGACATTGAGGGTCCAAGTTGGGTAGATTAGGGCAGGGTGGGGAGGCTGGAGACCCCATCCCTCAGCCTCCTGGCCTCCACTCCCCTGCTGTGGTCCCTGGGCCCCTCGTCCCTTGGCTTTTATAACCCTGAGGAGGAATTTTCAGGAAGGGGTTTCAGCAGGGGCAATAACAGCCTCTGTTTCTCTCTGTCTTGTTCTTTCAGATGAATCCAAGAGTTAGGATTTAGCTCTGGCTTTCCGTTTTTGTCGCGGCTCTGGATTAAAGTGTGTGTGTGTGTGTGTGTGTGTGTGTGTGTGTGTGTGTGTGTGTTGGCGTTGCAGGGAGGGAAGGGAGGTGGTTTGGAGTTTTGCTTCCTTCCCCACTTGATGGGTCTGGGAGGCTGGGAGCTGGGCTTAGAGGAGGAGGCTCTGGGTTTGGAGACATGAGCAGGTGGTGAGGGCTGGGCCTCGGGTCCCTGGGCCCATTCAGCTCCTGGAAGACAGAGCCCGAGCTGGCCTTGCCAAGGATTCCAGTGTGCGTGGGTGAGCCGTGGCTGCTGTGCACACAGCTGAGGACGTGGCTGGATGGTCCGACATCCCTCTCCCCCGGGATGTGGCAGGGAGCCTGCAGAATGATGTCACCCGCCGCCCTCCCACCCCCAGCTCTGGGCTCAGAGGACGTCTGCTGCATTGTGTCACCCACGGAGCATCTCTGGTGGGGATGCGGGGGAGGGCAGGACGAGAGTTGAGCGCACGCCCGCGATCACCCAGTGAGGCGCTGACGGCTGTGCCTGACCCCGCGGGGCGAGTTCTCAGACCTTCCCACCACAGCCGAGGGAGGAGAATGTGTCACCCCAAGACCAGGGTCAGGCGAAGGGGGGCGGGGGGGTGTCTCTCAGGAGCCCCACGGGGCTCATCACAAACTGTGAGATTTCACTGAAGTCTCTTATCTCAAAAATGCGTGTGAACTTTGCATTCACAGCCATGCTTCTAGCTTCGCTTATCTTTAAATAAAAAAAGCTTTCTCCCAACATCCTTGGGGAACACTGAGGCAGATGAGAGGTCTGGAAGCCTGGAGAGCCCGGGCTAGGGAGCATTTTATCAGGTTTCTCAGGGCCGGTCCAATCTCTGCAGCCTGGGCAGTGGAGAACGTGTTTGCACAGACCGGTCCGTCTTCGCTGGGGCTCTTACAGAACCACCGAAACAATGCCAGCTTGTCCCGAGGGGGTCTACCACGCCCGGGGGGCGTGCCAAGTGCTTTCCGTGCACCGCCTCTCACCAGCTCCCCAGAGAGCATGGTGACGTCAGTATCAGGCTTAAGTCCATTTTACAGAAGTGGAAACTGAGCGACCTGCTCTTGGTGACGCACAAAATGGTGGGGCTGTGGGTTGAACCCTGGCCTCTCGGCTCATCCCTGGGGTCTCTGTGTTGGCAGGGTGCGGTGGGGGGGTGTGGCGGGGAGGGATCCTGAGCGCCGGACCTTGCCTACAGGTGCCCCGCTGGTCAGCATGCCCCCCAGGATCCATGGTTACCTGCATCAGCCCTTGCTGGTCTCCTGCTCTGTACACAGCACCCTCCCCTTCAGGCTACAGCTGCGGCGGAACGGAGCCAGGCTGGGCGAGGAGAGGCATTTTCAGTGAGTGGGTGCTGCCTGCTCTGCGTCCCCAGCCCCAGGGGTCCAAGGGATGTGGGTGGCGGGAGAAGGACCTTGAACTCCTCATACTGTCCTCCCAGGCATCTCCCAGCGTGGCCAGGGATGGGGGCGAGGGTGGTCCCCAGATCTCCCACCACGGCTGGGTCATCACCCTGTGAAGGAGTTGTGGGCTCCCTGAGCTTCTGGAATGCTCATCCCATGCAGGGCCGGGCTCCGAGACCCTCCCCCTCGGGGATGAAAGCCCAGGGCTCAGAGAGGGAAAGGGACTTGCCCAGAGTCACACAGCATGTTGTAAAAGTTGTATGTCCTCACTGCCTGCCTCTTCTTAGCGAGTCTAAGAGGATCCGTCCCCTCTGGGCAGGATTCAGGGGCTGGGGGTCAGTGTGATCGTAGGGCCCCAGCTGTTCTGTATTCACAGGGTGTCGGGAAACAGTAGCTGGGAGATCCCACGGGCCTCCAAGACTGAGGAAGGGGCGTACGAGTGTGTGGCGGTCAGCCGGGCTGGGACCGGGCGAGCAAAGGCCCAGATTGTGGTCACAGGTCTGTCCTTTCCGGCCCATCCCCGCATCCCCTCCCCACCCCCATCCGGATTTTTCCCTCTACGTCCGTCACCCAGAGTCTGCCGCCCACGCCGCCTCCTGGCACCCTGTTGAGACGGTCACCCAGGAACGGCCTGTAGATCTTAGATGGAAGACTGAGAAACCCGGCTTGGGTCACACCCTCCTCCCCCGGGGCCCGTTCAAGGGCCAGTTCCCCTCTGGAAGTCCCCCTCCCTCAAGGCCTCCAGGACGGCAGCCTCCAACTCAGGAAGGTTGGAGATGTTACAGACCATCTCGAAATGACATTGGCTTTGCTTTTTAAACTAGGACTCTAAACTCCCTTAAAAGCCCAAGGGCCATGGGAAGACCAGCCAGTCTGCAGCCTCTAATCCCACAGACTGACCAGGCTTCTTGTACTGGCAGAAGAAGATCCGGATGGTCTATAGTCTATTCTAGAGATGACCTCCATAACACTTTGATTTACTCCCTCTTAGCCCTTCATCTATGTGTGCGCTTTAAGAAAACGGAGATAGTACTTTACGTATCATACATAGGTTATACGCAGGACAGCCTGGTTTTTTATCATCTGACAACATAGCACGTTTGCAAACACGGTTCTGTGGCATAAATTAACGGTTTCACTTTTTATAAACAATGAGGACAGGAAGAGGGACAGTATAAGGAAATTGGCACACCCGTTCCTTAGACTTAATAATTGCTAAAATTTCGCCACATTGGCTTTCTTGCTCTTTGGCAAAACTATTTTTTTAATGTTTAATTTTTTTGAGAAAGACCATGAGTGGAGGAGAGTGCAGAGAGAGAGAGAGAAAGAGACAGGGAGGGAGTCTTAACCAGGCTCCACACTCAGCACAGAACCCGACGCGGGGCTCGATCTCACCAACTGTGAGATCATAACCTGAGCTGAAATCAAGAGTCGGATGCTTAGCCGACAGAGCCACCCAGGCGCCCCTTGGCTAAACCATTTTAAACTAAATTGTAGGCATGCTGACATTTCAGTATTTATTTCTCTCTCTTTTTAAAGTAGATTTTCCCATATAATAAAGATTCTGTGGTCACACCTAATAAAATGAACAGTGATACCTTAATGCTGTTTAATTTGGCCATAGCCAGATTTTCTCATTTGCTCCCAAATATTATTTCTGGCTGGTTTCTACAGTATCATTTCTCGGGACTGTGTGGTTCACAGGCTCTTTGTGACATCAGGTCACTGGCACGCATAGCTTGTGTGGACCTGGCCTTTTTTCTGCGGGTTCTCAGGCCCACTCCCCTGGTTAGATGGTTCTGATCTTGTGGCTTCTCCCTTTTTCCTATCAAGGTTTTCTTAGCTCTTCCCTCCTTTGGGGCAGTGGCCTCTGTTGTACATTTTGGCCATTACGGTGCCCCTGCTATGTGTACAGAGAACAGCTTTGTGTTCATCACTCCTTCCCTCTTGAGGGTTATTTCCCTCAAGGCTCCGTTCCCCCTGGTAGAATTATTGGCTCACAGGGTGTAGATCTTGTTTGACGCTGCACTTGGCTGTTGTGTGGAAAGCACGCACATGCCATGCAGCCCTCTCTGGGTGTGTGATGGGGGTGGGGAAGCGAGGGGCAAGCGGGTCCTCCGTGGGGTGGTGCCGTCCCCGGGATGGCGAGCACACGATGCTTGCTGGCCGACGCATCCTGAAGGATACAGCGCGGGGCTCTGGATTCAGGGCACCCCCCGGGGCCGGCAGGACAGTCCCTTCTCTGTGTCATCCCCTCAGAGTCTCCTCTGTTTTTTATCTGTCCAGACCCCCCACCACAGCTAGTCTCCGCCCCCAACGTGACCGTGTCCCCGGGGGAGACCGCCATCCTGTCCTGCTGGGTCCTGAGTGAGGTCCCCTACAACCTCACGTGGATCCGGGACTGGCGGGTCCTGGCGGCCCCGACGGGCAGAGTCACCCAGCTGGCCAACCTGTCCCTGGAGGTCAGCGGCATCATCCCCAGCGATGGCGGACGGTACCAGTGCATGGCCAGCAACGCCAATGGGGTCACAAGGGCGTCCGTGTGGCTCCTGGTGCGAGGTGAGGCTCTTCCCGTCGCTCCTGTGTGGCTTCCTGATTCAGCACGCTACCTGGTGCTTTTTTAAAAGACGTTTTTAAAACGTGTTTATTTATTTTTGAGAGAGAGAGAGAGCGCGCGAGCAGGGTGGGGCGGGGGGGGTGGGCGGAGGGACAGAGGATCCAAAGCAGACTCTGGGCTGATGGCACAGAGCCTGATGTGGGGCTTGAACCCATGAACTGTGAGATCATGACCTGAGACGAAGTTAGATGCTTAAGTGATTGAGCCACCTGGGTGCCCCACACTACCTTGTGCTTATCCCCAGAGCCCATCGATCCACACCCCTGCCCAGATATCCTGTCCAGCAGGCAATGCCCGCCCCCTGATGGGGGCAGAATTTTCAGAGAACGAGGATTCTGTAGCCTCTTAGCCTAAGTTTAGCAGTTCTCGCTGTGGAAAGTTCATCCTAATATCTACCCTAAACTTCTACTGCTGTACGGGCCAAGCCAGTCTCCTGTCTTGTTTATCTCCTGTGCCGTGGATCTGCTCCATTGCCTTATGTGGGGCAGGGATGGGATTCAGGAAACTTCTGAAAGTCCAGAGATCAGAAGTGCTGGGCGGGGGCTGGGGGGCCCTGGCCAGATGGGGGTGGACGAGGCGGTGGAAAGTGCACGCATCTTGGAGTTTTAGGACCTGGATGTAGCCTCGGGTCCACCCAGGGTTTAGTCAGACCCTTCTCTCTGGGGTGCTGTTTCCACAAGTGTAAAACGAGCTCATTGGAACAAGCGTGTTCTCTGGTCCCGGCAACTCCTGACCGGTTGCCTGGAGTGGGTTGAGAAGGATTCCGAGGCCGTGTCGAGGCTCTGCCGCTGGTGTGGGAGGGGCCTGTTTGCCTTTTCTGGATGAGTCGGCCTGGAGAGGTCTGTGGAGTCTGACAAGCCTGCTGTGAATAGAACCCAAGTTCGGGGCCAACACTTGGGCAGCCCTTGGGGTCCACTCAAGGGCCCTGGAGACGAGCGTGGCCCCCAGCCCTGGCATCTCCCTGTCTCCCTAAGCCTCTCCACGATGCTCAGCCCAGACCAGAACCCCAGGGAGAGAGTGGGAGGTTCTGCTGGGGGCTTCGGAAAATCTTCCCTGTGTGGCCTGGGCAGCTATCTGGTCAACCCCAGCTCCCAGGAAAGCCACTCCCAGCCACTTCCTACATCTGGCCCATCTGTGACTTCAGGGATGGAGTGGAGGCCAGGGCTGGGCACCTGGGACGGCACAGCTGCCCAGACAGGCCCTTCCCCACCTGCCCACTCTTTGAACTGCAGAGGCCCCCCAGGTCAGCCTCCACAGCCGGTCCCAGCGCTTCTCCCAGGGCATGGAGGTGAGAGTTAGCTGCTCAGCGTCTGGGTACCCCAAACCCCACATCTCTTGGAGCCGTGAGGGCCATGCTCTGCAGGAGGACAGCAGGTAAGGGCCCTAGGACGAGGGGACCCAGGGGACCTTTCTGCGTCTCCATCTTACCTATAAATGGGATTGGGAGGAGAGGGTAGCATTTGCCCTGCCTTCTTCCTGGGATCATTTGAGACTTGGGAGCGAGATTGCTTTGGAAATATAACAGTGCCTCAATATGAGCTCGGGGTGGGGTGGGGGGTCAGGAGCCATAGTTCCAGAATCCAACAGACCTGTGCTAGAATCCTGCCTCTGCCTTTCAGGCTGTGTACCCTTGGGCAAGTCGCTTTACCTCTCTGAGCCTTGCGAATGAAAAAGGGCAGTCTCTGTAAAGTGTGGGCGCACAGCTGGGCACAGAGCAAGCAGTCAGTGTGAAATGGCAGTCCCTAGCGCTGTTACTAATTCGTTTGTTATTGGGGTGACTCGGGTCATCTTCGTGTGACCTGACCTAATCAGCTCTTTGCCGTTGAACATGTGATTTTATGACGTGACTCCAGAATCCGTATGGATGCCCGGGGAACGCTGATCATCCAGGGAGTGGCCCCAGAGGATGCTGGGAATTACACCTGCCAGGCTGCTAATGAGGTTGGCACAGACGAAGAGACAGTCACCCTCTACTACACAGGTACCTGGGCCTGGGCATCTCAGAAGAGCCTCTCCCCTCCCCTCTTCCTATCCACACATACCTCACTGAGCTGGGGACACAGCAGTAGCTGGCTTTAATTTGAGATCCTGGGTCAGAAAACTTTCTGGGGTGATGGATGGTGGGGCGTGGGAGGAGGCAAGGAGGGCAGCTCCCCCTCTGTCCTCGCTGCCCCCCCAAACTGTGAAAAGCTGCCCTACTGCCCTAGGGAGCCTGGGGGTCGGTCCCAGGTTCCCCATCTGTTTCCACACAGACCCACCGTCAGCCTCTGCTGTAAATGCCGTGGTGCTGGCCGCCGTCGGGGATGAGGCCGTGCTGGTGTGTGACGTGTCTGGGGTGCCCCCACCCCGGGTCGTCTGGTATCGAGGTACGAGAGGGGTCTGTGGAACTGTCCTGCGGGGCCCCCAGAGGACCAGCTTTCCAGAACAACCATGGGGACCCTCCTCCCCCCTCCCCAGCCCAGCATCCATGTGGCTCAGTGGTTAGGAGCAGGATTTATTTAGCGTAGACTCATTTTGGCACCTGCTTGGCTGTCAGTTAAGCATCCGACTTCGGCTCATGTCGTGATCTCTCTGTTCATGGGTTCAAGCCCCACATTGGGCTCTGTGCTGACAGCTCAGAGCCTGGAGCCTGCTTCCGATTCTGTGTCTCCCTCTCTCTCTCTGTCCCTCCCCCACTCATGCTCTGTCTCTCTTTCTCTCTCTCGAAAATAAATAAAACATTAAAAAAAATTTAGAGTAGACTCAGATTAGAATTCTGGCCCCCTAGGTGAAAAACGGGCAGGTGACTTGGTGTCGCGGAGCCTGCTGCCATCTCTGGAAAACGGAGACAATGAGACAGATTGGATGTGTGAGGGTTCAGTGTACAGTGTTTAGAACCAGCCTGGCTCCTGGGCTGGGCGCGGTGTCCTTAGTGACGGGGACGGAGACGAGTTATCCAAGAAATTGGGAGCAGTGGTACCGGGGTTTTCTGTGGCTCTTTTGAGTTGATGGGCACAGAAATTCTTCCCAGTGCTGGACACTGGGCTGAAGTTTGGCCAATGGGAATGTTCTGGAACCCTAAGCAGGGGCCGTGGGCCCGAGCTGCTGCCTCAGTGTTTCCAGGAGCAGGACACTAATTCATTCTCGAGGGTTAGCCGCTCACTCATCTTGCCCTCTTCCACCTGGAGGCGTCTGTCTGGCAGCTTGCCAGAGCCCACCTTGACTTTGGCACAGGCAGGTGTTAGCTCAGAGTCCTAGCAGGCAGAAGTAGCTTCGAATTCGAGCGTTGAGACTCCTTATTCAGTGCTTGAATCTTATGTTCTGGCCGATAACCCAGCCAGCCCCATCCCGGGGCCCCTTTTTTTAAATTTTTATTTATTTTTATTTTTATTTTTTTTATTTTTTACAAATAGTTTATTGTCAAATTAGTTTCCACATAACACTC